GGTGGGAATAGAAAGAGGAGGGAAGCCAGCCCCCTTCCTTTCCCACTCTCTCCCTGAGCCAGAAGCTGGAAGGCTGGAGGTCTGTCTGGGAAGAACATACCCGGGTCTTCCCCCCCCCCCAAACTCCGGTGGTCCATTTGGCTATTTTCTTTCCATGATCTGAAGGTGGATTTTTTTTCCTTTTTCTTTCCCCCTCTTGATTCCCCCCCCTGCTCTTTTAAGAGGTGCAGATCCAGGAAACCGGAGAGGGGGGGGAACAGGGGAGGAGAAGGTCAACCTGGCAAGGCAGGAGGAGGACTAAGGGACCCACCCGCCTCTTAAGCCGCCTGAAGCCAAGATGTCCCAGCTGTCGGTCAAGGAACATCTGGATGGAATTCTCTCGGACTTTGAAGGTAGGCGCGGGAGGCTGCCCAGAGAAAGCCTATTGGCATTGGGGAGGGGGGTAGTTGTGGAGTCCTCCTGCCCCCCCCAAAAAAGTTTGTCCCTCCCTCTCCATCACGGCTGTCCTATAACTTGTGCGACGTTTCGGATCTATACAGCATGCCTGCGCTCCCAAGACCGGCGCGTAAAAAGGGACCCCCGACGCGCCGAGATTCTGCGCGGGTGGGAGATTCCGGGGGTGGTGTAACTTCCCCAAAATGTAACTTTTCCCCTCCCTCCTCCGGAGTTTTAGAGGGCAAGCAAGGGTTAAACCTTCCTGGGAAACCTTGGGCAGGAAGGATCAAGGAAGCTGAAAACGACCCATAGCCTGTAACTCTTTTTTATTTGGTGAAATCCAGAAAAACGGCTTAAACTCCGTCTTTTCGGTGTCAAAACAAAACAAAAAAACCCCACACCAAGCCTAGAATGTGTTCAGTTGTCTTTCTAGGAGGTAGGGAAAATAGGAACAAATATCTGTGCAGGTGTACGGGGGGGGGGCTCCTTGTTTTAAGAGAGGGATTCTGGGCAAGGTTTGGGATCACGAAGCCAGAAATGTTAGAAAGCCCCCCCTTTTTTTTTAGTAAATTGTGATTTGAGGAAAACTGCATCCTCTAGCGAGATAGGTTGTGTTGCATTTTACTCTGGTGGGCTTGCTTTAAAATTCTTCAAACGGAGAGGTTTTAACCCTTTTAACTTGTTTGGTATTGCATGGCCCTGCGTTTGTACCGTAAAGTTTGCAGCCTGAAAGGCCAGGGAAGGAATAAACAGATCGACACCAATGAATTTTTTTCTGCAGGGGTACAGAACTAGTGTTGCTGAGGACAGATGTCAGCTCTGTGAAACAAGTTTCTAGTCCTCATTGCTGGCAAAAGTAAGCGTAGGACTGATGGCCCATGAAGCGGGTGGGGCCATTGCATGGTGCAGCTTGCTGCCTCTCCGTGTGGCTAGCTAACAAAGTTGCCGTCCAAATGGCATGTTTACTAGAGAGTATAGAACTGTGTGGTTAAGTGCAATTGTAGTAAAACTGGATCTATACGATTTATAAAGGTGGCAAAGATGGCAGCTTTCTTGGGGTAGAATTTCAATTGCTCGGATGCAGAATTGAGCATCTTTTCAACTCCAAGCGCCTGCAGTCCGGGTTTCGGTGAGAAGCTGCCTTATCACAACTCCGGCTGTTCCAGAGACTAACTCAGCATCTGTGGATTGCCTAGATAAGGGGTTTTCCAAGGCTTCAGACGCCAGCCGATCCTAGCAAATCCACCTGGAGATACTCTGATTAGATCTGGGGGAGAGTGATGGCTAGAAGAACCCATGGAAGAGGGTGGGGCTGAAGGCACCGCATGTCAGAGGCAAAGTGCAGGCGGGAAAAGCATCCACACACACACACACGGACCCAGCCGGAGGAGAACCTATAGGTGGGGCCTCAATCCTCCGCCAGGGAGACCGGCGCGAGAGGGCTGGCTTGAGGCTAAGGTGGAGCAGTAGCCCAGCTCCCCTAATGGAGTAGCCACGGCTGCTTGCAGCTTTTTGGATCCCAAGCCATTGCTCTCGGACTGAGCCTTCTCCAAATGTATTATTGGTTGAAAACAAGGTAGCTCTGGTCCATTTAGGCCAGTGTGGCCAGCACTGGCTGGCAGCTATGGTCCATAGATTCAGGCAAGAGTCTTCTTTAGTTCTCCCCGGAGATCATGGTGGTTGAACCTGCAGTTTTTGGGTGTGCGCGCGCCTTGCCACTGAATTCTCGTCCTTTGGCTGAAGATAAAGTTAAGGTTCTAGTCCTTTTGGGCTCTGAGTAAAGGGATGAATTAGGTAGAAGAACAGGAATCTGACTTAAAGTTATAATCCTTGGCGCATCTAACTCACTGCTGCTCACCCTGACCGGCTCTCCAGATCTCAAGCGGGAGCCTTTGCTCTTATTTTCTGGAGTTTGAACCCGGGATCTTCTAGAAGCCCACCGAGCGATGTGCTCTTCTCCATTGGGCCTCCAAGACTCTGAGTGACCAATAAAACAACAATATGAAACTGTCGTGGCCAGTGTTGTGTTGCAGAAATGGAGGATTGTCAGGCCATAGCAAAAGGGTCTTTGGCACTCTGTCTAGCTCCCTGTCTGGTGCCCAGTCTGAAGACTGGACATGCAACTTGGTATATGGCAGGGGCCCTGCTAGCACAGGGAAGATGCTGGAACCCTTCCTCTCCTGTTCTGCCTTTCTACACAGGATGGTACCTTCTGCCAGGAGGTTTCTCTTTCCATCTTCTTGGGCTGTTGTACAGTGGTGCCTCGCTAGACAGTTACCCTGCATGACAGTTTTTTCGCTAGACATTGGCTTTTTGCGATCGCTATAGCGATTCACAAAACAGTGATTCCTATGGGAGAATTTCACTGGACAATGTTTGGTCCCTGCTTCACAAACCGATTTTCGCTAGACAACGATTTTGACAGCTCCCTCCACACTCGCAAAATGGGTGTTTTCGGGACCTAAGCTTCGCAAGACAGCTATTTAAACAGCTGATCGGCGGTTCGCAAAGCGGCTTTCCTATGGCCGATCTTCGCTAGACAACGACGATTCTTCCCCATTGGAACACATTAAACAGGTTTCATTGCATTCCAATGGGGAAATGCTTTTCGCTAGACAATGATTTCGCTAAACAGCTATTTCAGTGGAACGGAATATCATCGTTTAGAGAGGCACCACTGTACATTGAAAGATGTGAGGTCTGATCTTCTAAGCGGAGGCTCTGTCATATCAGGGGGTGGCGTCCTTACAACCTGAAACATGCCAGATTTCCCCACGTTCTGAGTTCTTGAGGACATTTGTGTTTTCAGTCCTTGAAAAATCAGAGGTTCTGCGTTGACCTATCTAGCCATCGGTGGGTTTAATTTTGGGAGTCAAGCTTGCGGTTCCTAAAACAGGGGCAGAGATCGATTCTTAACACACACCTCCGCCCTGCAACTTGTTTCTAAAAACCATGCCCGAGCCTAGCTCCCTTGCATGGAGTCAGATTTTGAGTTCACCTCTGGAGAACCGTCGGCTTTGGGTGTGACCGAAGCAGTAAAAAGAAACTGTATTTCGCTTTTCCTGGAGAAAGAAAGGTGTGTATATTCATGAGCCTAAGAAGAATATTTTCGTCTCTCTGTGTGTGTGTATATATAAAAACGCTTTCTGTACCTCTGTGTACTTTAATGTATTTGTATAAGGGCTCTGAATATGCCAAGTGAACTCTGAATGTGTACTTTTAAAGTTGGAATGCGAGGGGGTGGCAAGGGTGTGAAACCATCTTAACAAAGACCACCTCCATTTCCCCTTAATGTTTGCAGAGCTCCTAACCGACACCTCATTGGGCTGCCTCAATTAAGACCAATTAAGGGGTTTATGTGCTCAGGCTGTCTCGATGAAGCCCCGTTTGAAAATAAGGTCTTGGAACATACTTCCAGTTCAAGAGATGGAAAAATTTCGCAGAGGTCATCCACCCATGCCTCGAGTGGGTGGTCCACGTTGTGCCCCTGCGTGAACTGGTGCCACGAATAGCGCCACCTTCTTACCTACCCAGTGTGGGATAACGGGTAGAGTGACAGACTAGGGCTCTGGAGACCTGGGTTTGAATCCCGGCTTGGCCAGGGACCCTTATCGGAGGGGCTGGCACTGGCAAATTTCTGGTTAAGTATCTCACTTGCCTTGAAAGTTCTATTAAAGTTGTGATAAGTTGGGTATTTCTTGAAGATACCCAAGATCTGCTTTGATTGGGATTCCTGCCTTGAGCAGGGGGTTGGACTGGATGGCCTTAGAGGCCCCTTCCAACTCCATGATTCTAGGCTTCTAAGTCCAGGTGCCGATATCCAAAGCCGGCCATGCCATTTAGGCACCCGAGGCAGGACGCCTTTCCCCTTCCAGCTCTCTAAATCCAATAACAGCAAAGCATTTAACTAACAACGAACAGCCCTGGAATGACTCCCCAACGTTGTGGCCTGGGGCAAGTTGCCTCGCTCTGTCTCTGCTGAACGGCAGCACAGCCGCCCCCGCTCTGCTTTGCTCAGCCCCAAAGATCCTTCAGCCTTTGAGCTGAAAAGGCCCCCGCGGTCACTCTTCTCCTTCCATGGGGCCGACAGCGTGGAGCATAATCTATGGGGAATCTCTCGTGCGAAAAGCCCACTCCCGTCCTGCAGCGTGGACGCCTTCTGAAACCTCGGTTTCCCAACATTCCTGGCACCAATTGCTTTGATTAACTTGCCATCCCATCATCCTTCCTTGGGATTATGCATTGGCTTTTGCGTATACTCTGTTTAGGTGGTTGGTGTTATTTATTATGAACTGATACAGATTTTTCAGGTGGTTATGCACATCATTGGCAGTGTCTTCATTTTTAGTTTTCATTTTTCATCGCCTTTATCTTGTCCTTCGCTCATCCATGTGAATCCTTCTCTTTCTTTTGGTTGGCTGTGATCCAGCACCTTGTCACTTACTTACTTACTTACTTACTTACTTACTTACTTACTTACTTACTTACTTACTTACTTACTTACTTAACCCTATTCTATGTTTCCTGGACTCAAGGCAAGCTCATAACAAGTTTATCCTGCTGCTATGCCTTCTCCAGTAGATTGCCTGGTTGGATTGGGGCCTTTGGCAGGAGGGGAAAAATGCCCCAACCCAATTGAAAAGCAAGAATCCCATTCTGAAACCCAAGCAACCGACTGGGGTAAGGCATGGCCCTCTCAAATCCTAGAATCATAGAATTGTAGAGCTGGTAGGGAGCCCAGTAAAAGGGTCAAATCCATACCTAAAGCACTCTCAAGGGATGACCATCCAGATATTTATAAATCTGCAGACAAAGGTGAGCCTGCCACCTTCTGTGGCCATCCGTTCTTCTGCCAGACAGCTCTTACCCTCAGGAAATTCTACCTAATGTTTAGTCCAAATGTCCCTCCTTGTATTAGGAACCTCTTGGTTTGGGTCCCTCTGAGGATTTTGTGAGC